AGTCAGCAGAGCAAAAATTAGTAAAATTCTAATGAAATCTATAGTTTTGCTAGTAATACTGTTTTAATGGTAAGATAAGCAAAGTATAGGAAGCAGCTTTTGAACTCGGGACATTACAGATTGAAAGAAACTGTGCTGAGCATTTATTTGATTAGGAGTTGAAAGTTAGACAGGTGAGCAGAAGGTAACTGAAAGCAAAGCCTATGACATTTGAGACATTTAGACATTAAGACCCTTTCCATATAGATTTGGAATCTTCCCACCCCTCCCAAAAGATAAAGGCAAACCAAAGTAAACTTCTCACTACCTGACCCTCCAAAGGGTACTGTGGGAGTGTTGCCTTGGAGCTGAACAAAATGGGTTGGGGAGCGGGGGGTGGCTTAGGATGAAAGAAAATTCTTCAGGAGGCTATAAACTTTGGAAGACACTTCCTGAAAATTTGGTCTCAAGCAATTTAGTTTAAGGGGGCTCTAAAGAAGTTATACTTTCAAGTGTTAGCAAAAACAAATTGAAATCCTCCTTCAAATACAGTTTCATGACAAGATTTGGGAAATCCTGACAAAAAAAAATTTAAAGGCAATGAGAAGCTATGCTGTCAAACATAATGAACAAAAAGCAATAAGCAAAAACAATAACAGATCTAAAAAGTCTTCGCCTACTGAAAACATCACATGAACACGCTGACTTTATTCTTAAAGGAATAAAGATAGCTGCAGTATAAACAAAAGATAATAGGATATGATTCACATATTTATACTAATACATCTGGAAATTTAGATAGAATAAACAACTTTTGGGAAAATAACATTAAAACTGACCTAAAGAACAGACAACTTGGGCAGAATATAACCATTAGATGGAATCATAGCCAAAAATACTAAACAAAACAAAACAAAATTCTTTCTCCTGTCCTTCCCTCCCTCTCTCTCCTTCCCCAAACTCTGTCTTTTCAAGTCCAGAAAAGGCTTCCATGGTCATTCTTTATGTAACAAGACTCAAACCCATAGACTGCAAAGTAGCCAACTATCAATCATTGTAGGAAGAAATATTCTAATCTTATACAAACACTTCCAGAGCATTAAAAGAGAAAGAAAAAGAAAACGTGAGAAGCAAACTTAACTTATAGTATGCAGCCAACATAATCTGGATAGTAAAATCTCATGAGGACAGTAAAAGAAACTTGAGTAAATTTCTCCCACAAATATAAATTAAAAACCTACACAAATTATTAATAAACCAAACTCAAAAATTTAAGGACACTTCATCATGACCAAGTTGGTTTTGCCCTAGAAACACAAGTTTGCTTTAATTGTACAATAATAATGACACAAAGGGATAAAAATAAGACCATATATTGATATATGCATATACTGGTATTTGCTAAAAGAAGGGCTTGAAAGATAAAGCAAACATTTTAATGGAAGTGGGAAACCAAGTGAAAGGGGCAAATGTGAAAGATAAATTTTTAAGACATGTAAATATATTACTGATTTTTAAATTTATTAGTAAATTGGTTAATGTAATTAAAGTGTAAAATCACATGTATACCTAATAGATACAGAAAAAGTATTTGATAAAACTTAGAGTCCATTCAGTATTAAAGAAAACTCTTTAATAAATTAGAACTAGAAGGGAACTTTCTTAATCTGGTGAAATATATATGTAAACAAAAAACAAACAACTATCACATTACTTGTGAAATGTTGTAATAATCCCTCAATTAGGAACAAAGTCAGAATAACCACTATCTCTTATATTAAACATTATACTTGAGGTCTTATCTGCGCCAATAAGGCAAGAAAAAATAACAACAAGTATAAGGATTAAAAAGAAATAAAAACTGTCCCTCTTTGCAAATAACATTATCATCTTAGAATGAACCTATAGATTAATTACTATAATATGTAAGGGAATTTAAGAAGATACCTTAATATTATATAAAGATAAATATATGAAAGTCATACTCCTATATACAATTAGAAAACAAAAATTAAAAACTTTTTTTTACAATTCTATAAAATTATAAGTAACCAGAAATATTTTTCTCAATGATGTAGAAGATCTTTCCAAAAAAAATTGTAAAACTTTATTGTAAGGCAATAAAAATACTTAAATAAATAGATTAGAAAACTTCATGTAATGATATTAATTCTTCATGTATTGGTTTATAAATTAAATATGATACAGAAAACATCCTGCAGGCTTATTTATATAATTTTATAGTGTGAGTCTAAGAAATGTAAATGACCAGACTGGATGAGACACTCGCCAAGAAGAACAAAGTGGAAGAACTTGCTCTACCACATATTAACGCATGTTACAAAGTGACCATTGCAGATCAGTGTAGAAAGGATAAGCTTTTCAATAAATGCTGCTAGAGCAGCTGGCTATCTATATGTGGGAGAAGAGAATGAAATTGAGCCCCTACCTCCACTTCACAAAAATCAATACTAAGTTGAACAAAGCACAAAAAGCACTAACAATAAAGGAAATTATTGATAAAAATTCCAATACATTAAAATAAAGGACTTGATTCAAGGCACCAATTTTTAAAAACTAAAAGAGAAAACAGAAGATACTTGGAACCCATATATATAATAAATAACAAAGAAGTCAGAAATAAGTATGTAAAACCTCTATAAATTAATGAGAAAAAGATCGATAGATGAATAGAAAGGACATGAGTGGGCACTTCAAAAAAATACAAGATATTCAGTCATCAGTGACCAGCGGAATGCAAATTTAAACCACAAAAAGATATTACATATCCACAAGATTGACAAAAATTAAAAATTCTGTAATAGCAACTGTTCCTGAGGATGCAGAGCAAGATCTCTCAAGCACTCTCATGGCAATGCAAATTGGTACAACCACTTTGGAAACTATTTGGCAGCATCTAGTAATGTTAAAGACTAGAGGCCTGGCGCATGGATTCGTGCACCAGTGGGTCCCTCAGCCAGGCCTGCAGGGATTGGGCCGAAACCAGCAGCCTGACATCCCCCAAGATGTCCTGGATTGCAAGAGGGCACAGGCCAGGCCAAAGGATCCCACTGGTGCACAAATCCATGCATTGGGCCTCTAGTATGCATATAAAATCTTTGGTTAATCTCTTCCCTCCCCCTTCCTCTTTTCCCTCTGAGATTCATTAATCTATTCCATATTTCCATGCCTATGCGTTGAGCATCTGCCCCCTGGTGGTCAGTGTGCATCATAGCTACCAGTGGAATAGTCACTTAGCCTTTTATATATATAGATATAGTCTTTGACCCAACAATCACAGTCTTAAGTTTATATTTTACTTAAATGTATGTAGATGTGCACTGGGAGACATGAACAAGATTGTTTATACCAATATTTATAACAGCCAGAAGTCTGGAAATCAAATGTTCATTGTTATTATTTTTAAAAATACATTTTTAATGATTTCATAGAGGAAGGAAGAGGGGGAAATAGAGGGGGGGGGGGAGAGAGAAACATCAGTGATGAGAGATGCACACCTCACACTAAGGATCCAGCCCCACAACCTGGGCATGTGCCTTGACTGGGGATCCAATCATGACCTCCTGATTCATAGGTTCATGTTCAACCACTGAGCCATGCCAGCTGGGCTCAAATATTTATTATTGACAGAATAGGTAACTTGTGGCATATTCATAAAATGAAATTCTATACAACTGTGAAAATGAACAAGCCACAGTCACCTGCTAGATGAATCTTACAAACACAATAACATACCAACTGTGCCAAGTCCTAGTAAGTTTAAGAATGCATACATATGTGGTAAAAGTATAAAAATAAGCAAGGAAATTATCACTGGAAAAGTCAGGATAATGGTTACTTAAGTGAAGGGAAGTGGTTACAACTGGAAAAGGGCACAGGGCTTTAACAGTGCTAATATTCTATTTCTTAATCTGAGTGTATTTTTACATATTTTGAGTGTGTGTTTTACAATAAATAAGGAAAATTTTAATGCAAGGATTTTCATTATCAAAGTATTTGTTATCTCAGTGCCAGCAGTGTGACTTATGGAATCAAAAGTCATCATAAGATGACAGCATTCACTAATGAACTGATCACTTAATAAACTGATCACTCCAGTCCTGGCAGGGTAGCAGTATTGGTCAGTGTGTCGCTGGATACACCATGGTTTTGAGTTCCATCTGCAGTCAAGGCACATACATCAACCAATGAATGAATGGGTGAGTAAGTAGAACAACAAATTGATGTTTCTTTCCCTTCTCTCTTGCTCAATCAATCAATCAATCAATAAACTAATCACTCCATTCAAACATTCCTCCCTAGTTAATACCCGTAGTTTCATTGATTGTATACATCACAATATAAATAAAAGGAAAGTCATTTGCAAATTCATCCACTCAACAAGTATTTATTATTGTCCACTACTTTCCAAACACTATTCTAGGGGCTCAACAAGGCCTTCCTACAAAAGATGGAGGACTAAAGACCCCCATTCCCATCCCAATTTTGTCTCCACCCTTTCATCCTCTCTTCCAAACAAGTATCAAACACGAAGAGCCCAAAAGGAACTCAGGACACACGCGAAGTGATTATCAAAACCCCAACCTTGGGCAGTGCTGACACTACTTGCTAGGATTTCATCTGACAAAATTCAAGAGCCCTAAGTCAAGGCACCAGTCTCAACAACGGTGATGCTTTGGGAACAGGCTTCCGTGGGGTCAACACTCCCAACACATGCTTTTTACCTGGGAATCCAGAGACCAGAGAACTTCCAATTTCCCAGAAACTGTCTACTAGATTTTATGAGGACATGTTATTTTTCTTTATTTTTCCAGAACTCTCATCTGATTCCCTAAGAAGTTCCATCAACAAGGCAAATAAGCTCCCAGCTACTCCCAGCAAGCTGAAGGGGCAACGTTGTAGGGACACGATCGAAGGGAATGTGGCCCCAATGACACCACCTGAGCTGAAGCCAAGGTACCCTGACCTCCGGGTCTCTGCTCCGAATGCCCAATACTCACCCTGAGCTCTTCGAAGGCCTCGTCCAGGGTGGAGAGCTGGTGGCCCTGGTGGGCCCCGATGACGGGACACAGGACGCAGATGAGCTGCTTGTCTTCTTGGCAGTAGGTGCTCAGATCCAGCCCGTGGTCCGGACACCTCCTCTGGGCCACTCTCTCTGCCTCCATCTCGATGTCTGGGTCAAATTCACTCTCTGCCTCGGTTTCCCCATCCGCCTCCGATTCCCCGTCGTCACGGTTGTCTTCCTCCTCCTCCGCCTCGCTCTCTTGCTCGTCCTCCATGTCCTCCTCGCTGTCGTCTTCGCTCTCTTCCTCGCTCTCCTCGCTTTCTTCCTCCGAGATCTCGCTCTCTTCTTCTTCTTCTTCGGAGTCACTGTCCCCCTGGGACTCGCTCTCCTCCCCGGCCTGGCTCTCTAGGTCGCCCTCCTCCTTCTCCTGCTCCACCTCGGCCTGCACAGCGGCCTTGCCATCATCGCCATGGCCTTCCCCGGGGCCTCGGGGGGCCCAGGCCGGGGCGGCGCCGTGCACGTACCGGGCCAGGTGGTGGCCGGGGAACTGGAGCCGGTGGCCCTCGGCGTGGCGGCGGCAGTAGCAGAAGCCGCACTCCCGGCACACTTCCTCGGCGCCCGGCGCCTCGTCGGGCTCACACTGGTCACACGTGCCGTCGTGCGGCAGCTCCTCGAAGGCCGCGCCCACTCCGGAGGCCATGCGGGAGCGGTGACAGGGCCAGGCCTGGGGGCCCCCCGGAGATGGCCGCTTGGCTCGGGCTATGGCTCCTCACGTCGTCCTCCTCCTCCTCCCGGCAGATGGCCGATCCGGTGCCAGGGAGGCGCTGGCCGCCTGGGCCGCGTGGGATCTGGGAGAGGGGCTGGGGCTGGGGCGCTGCTGCCGCCAGCTCCGGGCAGCCCCGCCTGGGCAGAGGAGCAGAGGGCCTGCCCGCCCGCCCCGCCCCCGGCGCCCCCTGCGCTTCCTCGGGGCACAGGCACTTCCGGTGCAGCGGCCCCGAGCGAGCCCGTGATGGCCCCCCCGCGCTGCCCGCTTGGTCTCTCGCTGATCCGAGATCACGGAGCCCTGCCACCCCGGTTCCACTTTCCGTGTCCCCGTCAGGCGGCCTCTTTTCACTTCCTGAGTCATTTAAAGTGGCAATGGCCCTTTCCTGCGGTACCCGTGGGGGCTCAACAGCCCCGGAAGGAGGGGAAGGATGGAGGAGGCCTTCCTCACATCCCAAGCTTGGGCCCCGCCTCCCCCTGAGTTTCTCTCTGGAGATGTCAAGGGATTTGGATTTGCCAAGCCCACCAGGCAGGTGTGCTTGTCTGTTTTAGTCTCACTCCTTCCCAGGTGTCCCTGACCTCCCCAGTCCCCGCTGCTGCGTGCAAGGGAAGGTGTCAGGGCAGAGCATTGCTGCCCCAGGACCTGGCCACCTGGATGTCCAGGGGACCCTGGGAAGGGTCCTGTTTGCTCTCCCAGGCCTGGGGATTCTCAGTCAGCCTAAGCAAACAGACATTGTCATCCAAAGCAATGCTATACTTTGTCTGTTTGCAAAGTCTGTTTGCATTCCTGCCTCCTAGGGGCTCAGAACCTAGAGGGAGGCAACCTTTGTGCATTTTTCTGAGAGCCTGCCTTGGGTTTGGCTGAGATGTCAGATGAGGTAGGTGGAGAGACAGCATTTATCAAATGAGAGTTCCAGTGGGCACACTGGGTTCCAAAGAGAGGAAGGGGACTGTTATTTATTAACCCATACTAAAGTGCCAAGAATTGGGCTAGCTCTTTCTGTGGCTCTTTACGAGCTGGTTTTGAAAGATCCACGGCCCAAGGGCCCCCAGATCCTGATACTACAACCTGTTGGTTTTGTGACCATGGAGATTTCATTGATCTTTCTGTTTTCTGCTTTTAACAACGTATATATGTGAAGTGGAAATAATGATAATACCTATGTCATGGGACTGTTTCGTGGAAGAAATGTAAAGGTACCGGCCTTATAGAAGTATTCACTACATTTAAACTATTATTATTGGCACAAATTATATTTATTGGACATTGTGACCCTTTGAAAGGATTTTAAACATATTTTTAACACATTGAGCATTTTTGGCTGGCTGCCTGTAGTGTAATCAACCCCCCATCTCTTCACCATATCTATGCCTCTCCAGTCATAGAAGAGCTTTTGTTTCATATTTGGGAGGGGAAAAGGACATTTTTATCTAGTCCAAGGAGAGGCCAAGGTGTGGTAGAGAAGAATGGAGGGGGATGGAGTGATGTCTGTTTTCCTTTGATGCTCTTGCAAATTTCGAGCTCCAATTTCCAGATGGACATCACGAAAATGCAAGGGGAGAAAGTGGGGTAAAACACATTTAAGATAATTTTAATGTCTCCACATGTAATGTATGCTTACTCTCTATGCAGCGTTTGTCAGAGATTTACTTTTTAGAAATATTTGGCTTTTGAACCTCAGAACAATTCTATAGAATGTTGGAAGTCAGAAGGTTTTGTTTGTTTTTTTTCCAATTGAATACTCATTTCTATTTATTTCCAGTTCACTTCTCTGGAAATTATTTCTGTAGCACATTCAAAACAGGGATTGATGCACCATTCTGGAAAAAAAAATCAAATGTCAACTCAAACATCAACATTAGTATACTTAGAGAATAGTGTTTCTTTTTAAAATATATATATATTATTTATTTTTTTACAGAGAGAAAGGGAGAGGGATAGAGAATTAGAAACACAGATGAGAGAGAAACATTGATCAGCTGCCTCCCGCACACCCCCCACTGGAAATATGCCCACAACCAAGGTACATGCCCTTGACCGAAATCGAACCTAGGACCCCTCAGTCCGCAGGCTGAAGTTCTATCCACTGAGCCAAACCAGTTTCGGCTTCTTGCTTTCTAACCAAGCAAGAAGCACTGTTCTCTAAGTCTACTAATTTCAACTCTCCAGGCTTAGGAGGAAATACCTTTTACAAGCATAATGTTATCACATTTAGAAAATATTTTTTCACTGAAAAATAATTTTCAGTGTCTTAAAAAAAACATATTTTATGTGAGTGTCCAAGATCTTGGTGGAACAGAGGGGTGTCTTTTTGTTGTTATTATTTGTTCTACATTTTACCACCTCAGTTCAGTATCTGACACTTCACAATCCTTTCTTGAGCCTTCTGATAAGAGAGTCTTAGAGGCAGAGTTTAATGGAACTCTTAAAAAGTTATGGCCCTAGCTGGTTTTGCTCAGTGGATAGAGCATCAGCCTGCGAACTGAAGGGTCTCAGATTTGATTCTCGTCAAGGGCACATGCCTATGTTGCTGGCTTGATTTCCAGTAGGGTTCATGCAGGAGGCAACCAATCAATGATTCTCTCTCATCATCATTGATGTTTCTATCTCTCTTTCCCTCTCCCTTCCTCTCTGAAATAAAATTTTAAAAAATGTTTTTTAAAAAGTTATAGTAATGAGGTTTGACAGACTCAATGAGACAGACCTTCTGTACCCCTCTACACAGAAATCAGAACAGTCTGATTCCCCAGGAATTGGAATCTTTGGGAGCATTCAGAGATAGAAACCTTGTTATTAATATATTAATCTGTATTGCATAGAAAACCACCTCAAAACATAGCAGCTTAAGACAATACATATTTATTATGTCACACTTTCTATGAGCCAGGAATATAGGAGTGGTTTAGTTGGGTGGTCTAACTCAGGGTCTCTCAAAAGATTTCAGTGAAGATATTTGCTGGAGATATAGTCATTGAAGGCATGACCTGTAGGATTTGCTTCTAAGGTAGCTCACTCGCATGGCTGTTGACAGGAAACTCACCACTTCTATTGGGCTGCTTTAGACATGGCAGATGAATTATCCCAAAGGAACTGATCCAAGAGAGCGCAAGGTGGAAGATGCAATGTCTTTTATTACTACCTAAGCTCAGAACTTACACACCATCACCTACAACATAGTCTATTAGTTACAGAGATCGACTCTATTCATTAGGAAAGGGTCCTACACAAGGGTATGATTACCAAAAGATGAGGATCTTTGGGGCCACCTTTTTTCTTTAAGATTTTTAGGGGAGGGGGGGGGAGAGAGAGAGAGAGAGAGAGAGAGAGAGAGAGAGAGAGAGAGGGAGAGAGAGAGATTAATTGGTTTCCTCCTGAACAACCTCCTTTACTCCACCAAGGATGGGTCCTGTAACCCAGGCATGTATCCTGAACAGAAATCAAACTAGTGATCTTTTGGTGCATGGAACAATGCCCAACCAACTGAGCCACACTGGCCAGGGCATCTTTGGGGCCATCTTTGCGGGTGGCTACCATATTTTTTCCTTTTGCCCCCAAAGATTCACATCTCCCTCAAATGTAAAATACATCTACTTCCTCCAAAGATCCCCAAAGTCTCAAACCATAACCTTAAAGTCCAGAATCGTATCTAAATCAGGTCCAGGTGTGGATGAAACTTCTAGCTACAGTCTTAAATGCAGCTCCTTGAGTCTAGTTCCTCTCCATCTGAATATTTGTTTTCCTCCTCACTCCCAACACACAATGATGGGACAAGCTTAGGATAACTGGTACAGATACTCCTGTTTAAAAGGAGAAAAGACACAGAGGAGTTCACTGGTCCACAATAATCCTGAAATTCAGTTGAACACATGTTAGAAGCTCCTCAAATTAGGACCCAATTCTACCTCTGCCCAGGAATGATTCTTCAAGGCTTTTGACTTCCCCTTTAAGATCTTGATTCCACTTTCTGAGGCATCCTTTCTTTTCTAAGAAAAGTAGCCCATGTTTGCAGCTGTGTAACTTGTCGGTCTGCTGACAAGTAGAAGTTAGGTGCTTTCATGACCCCTTTTAGTTTTATACTGTCTCCGTTCCATTATAGTCTGTGCTTGCAATGTTTCTGCCAATATAATTTCCTTTAAAAATGTTGTGAGTCTCCTATGAATCTAATTGGGGCACCACTTCATTGGACAAAATCATACCCACAGATCCCTTAGAGAGAAGCCCTTTTCTACTCCAGAGCATCCCTCTACTGCAACTGCTGAGCACAACACTAATAAACTTCTTTGAGGCCTTATCATTCATCTGAATAATTCTCTGAATCACCACTATAGATCGTTTGGAGGTATGAATAAAGGGTTTTTACAGCCACAGTTACAGCTTCATCACTTGATGATATTTTCCTTGTAGGGTCCTGGAGTTTATTTTTGACTGGAAGCCATTTCTTCATTTTAGCATTATTCGCCATCTAGAGAAGATGGAAATATTCAAATCTAGCAAGTTCTGGACCTTAAAAAAAAAAGTCCTTCTTTAGATTATTTCTTTCTTCTCACATTTTGCAATAATCAAGAATTTCAACACTCTACCTGGCAATGTACTTAGCTAGAACATCCAATTAATTAGGCACATTTTCTACTGTGTATAGGTGGCAGTGTTGCTAAACTTTCTGACACTGCAAAACAAGGACCCATTCTCCAGTTTCCAATACAACATTTCTAATTTCCTCTTCAGCCTTAATCTACTGTCCCTCAAAAGCCACCACATTCTTCTAACAGTTTCTTCAAGACTCTTCAGGCTTTCACTAAAACTCTTTTCCAAGGCCTTCCAGTTTCTCCAACTGCCCAGTTCCAAAGCCACTCTACTATTATGGAGTTTTGTTATGGAAGCACCTTGCTCTTTAGAGTAAAATATGTATTAGTAGTCAATGAATGAATAATAAATTA